GCTGTAAGTTCTATGCTAGTAGTTTCTTTGCTCACAATTGTCACTTGTAGAATTCCTTTCCGGCTCCATGCTTTTCAGCCAACACACTAAGGATTATTTGTATGCATTTATGTAAATTGAGACACTGAGAGTTACCTTGGAAGAATTCTGAAAATAAACGGAAAGGACATGCTTCCAGATACCAGAATGGATTACCAAGCAGCCCTTACTGGCAACTTTGCCATTTTAGTTTCATTTTATCTGTAAAAATTTAAATGCATTGTCAATCACTATGTACTGTCTCCCTGATTACACTTTTTTCTTCCCACTCATTATTAATGTTTCTATTCCTAATTCTTCCACACTCTGTATCCCCTTATGTCTCAGTGGCTCTACTGCCATGCATAGGGTGAGACCGATTAGAAAAAAAAAAAAATTGCAGAGTGGCAAAATTGTGACTGTCAACCTGTAGCTTCTCATGACAATATGTCTAATCAAAGCTTGATCACTAAATATTGTAAAATCTGACTATTTTTTTATGCTGAAGAGGTATAAATTGTATTTATGACTTTTTTTTAGTTTCATAATTTTTTTTTTTATTGACAGCAGATATTTTGTATTAGGTTTCTTTTAATCATTTATGGATTGAATTTTTTTTTTTTTTAGATAGGAATTTTGCAGAATTGCATAACCATTGATTCAAATGTCTTGTTTACTGTCACCGATTCTAAATGTACTCGGCCGGACACCTGATTTAAAATTAGTCAGGGGGAAAATCACATTACAATTGTTCCTTGCCTTCAGAACTTCCATATTTATTTTCATATAATGTTAAAAATTCTGTATGTTAACCCTTTAGAATCCCCTATGGAGTATAGGGCCACAGTTTCACCACACTAGATGCTGTAGTTTCTGTAGCAAGCAGGGTTTTACAGGGTGAAGTTGCTGTCCCCAAATGCAACCAGTTTTGAATTCAGTTATCTTCTAATTTATAACAAAATAACAAATTTGATATCCTAGTCTACTCTGCTATTAATCCATAGCTAGTAGGAAAAGAGATGGATTTCTACCTTTTTCAAGGCTATTTGTGTGAATGTGAACTCTATAGCCTTTTTTTTTTTAAAATTTTTATAAGCTTAACTATGATTAAATCTCTGTACAAGGCTCAGGGCCAATCTTTAGATATAGGACTTGAGAAATGACAGTCCTGGGTATGACAATAAACTACATCCAACAGCAAAATTGATTTTCTCTCTGATCAGGAGGTTTTGAGGAGGTACATTTGTAAACATTATCAGAACCACCTTATTTTTAATAAAATTCTGGTGATCCCAGGCCCCCCTACCCTGACTCGAGGTGTTAGCACCCAAATGCAACTGTTAAGGTCCCAACTATGAGCAAATAGTTAGCCCCTAAAGTAAGGTCTCTCTCTGGGTCTCAGGGGCCAATCTAGATATTTGACCGCCCTGGGTACACAATATGAAAGTGTAAAATAGGTTTTAATATCAGAATATACTTATATATATATTTTAAGTAGCTAAAAAATTATTACCAGCAATACATTTTTTTTAAATATTACCAGTTATATCTTTAAAAAAAAATTACCAGCAATACATTTAAAAAAAAAAAAATTATTACCAGCAATAAAAATCTTGTTAGCATTAAATAACCCATTGAGGTTGATATGCCATAAAACAAACCAAACCAAACTAGGTAGAGAGTTATATTAGTTTGCAGTTTGTATAATGTTATATTCTGTGCTAATAGGAATATCTACTTGAAAAACAAGGTGGATAAAGTAAAGGTTTATTGTAAAAAAAAAAACAGTACAATAAGAATAAAGTTAGCATAACCATTATGCACAAGGTCATTGCAATCCAATAGTAAGTACTATTATTGGAAGGTCAGTAGTTCTCACATGTAGTTCATCCAAGCACTTTCTGTGAAAGTAGCGATGCAGGAGAGAGAATTGCCATTTCCTGTCTGTGAGAGAGAGAGTTTGGAAGGTTACAGGATTTATCCACCCTTTACAGTGATTTTATCCTGAAGGTACTGGGGAGGGGGTCCTACCAGGATGTATCATTGGTGGACATATTCTTAATAACACAAGATACGCAGATGACACTGTGTTGATGAGAGACAGAGAAAAAAAAACTATAGGAATTCCTTGATAAGGTAGTAAATGAAAGCAGGGAAAAAAGGAAAAAAACATCCTTTTGTAAGGAGAGAGAATGTCTGATTGTCAGCAAGAGAAAAAACCCAAGATGCAATCTATGAATTGGAGATGTCAAAATCATACAAATACAGAAGTTTAAATATCTGGGAAGTGTTGAAACAGATGGCATAAAATGTGATACTGAAATCCAAAGGTACATAGGAATAGCAAAAGATACCTTCCAAGAACTAAAATATTTAGAAAACGGGAAATTTTATTAGAAACAATGGTTTCTGGATGGCAGTGAATTCTGGACATTTTTCTCACAGATAAAAAAAAAAGGGAGACTTTACGTAGCAGGGATGTTGTTCTATAGAAGGATGCTGATAATATGTTGAACAGAGCATGTAAGAAATGATGAATTTTTTAAAGAAAATGGAAACAAAAAAGGACAATTCTGCATATAATCAGAGTCAGTTGAAATTCCTTGGAGACATAATTAAAAAAAGGCTTAGAAAATTTGACATTGAAACCTAGAGAGACAGACAAAAATGGAACTAACTCGGTTAACAAGTAAATGGATGGCAGAACATGGTGAAGGTCGGGTAGCACAACAAGGAGGAGGAGGGATAGTAAAAAGACAAACATTACTAATAGCTACAAAAGATTGAAAGTTGTGAAGAGCCGTGATCACTGATGTCCGGAAGTGATACAGCATATATCTCAAAAAGCAAATTCTGTCTGTCCAATGGAGAAAAATGGAGTAACCATGGTTTTATTTCTTGCACCAACTGCAATTTAAACTCAATGCATAAGCAAGGTTTTACCTTTTCTTAGCACAACCCACTGTCTTTACTTCTACTCTATTATCATATAAGCTTTAGCCTTTTTGGCACACTATATGGGAAGAAAAAAAGAGTAATTGTCAGAGATCAGGAATTATGGTAAGAATTACTGATTGAATATCACTATTATATTTATAATTCTCTCAAATAAACATCCATATCTATCTTGTATTTTTTATCACAGTGGATCAAGTTAAGAATCGGGGTAAAAAGCAACAAAGATAGGGATGTTTGTGTGAAAGAATTACTGAGTACTAAGAATACCGTGTAGAGAGGTCAGCCTCCTTGTTAAAATAATTACATATTTTCCTGCTTGTGCTGAAATTGAGGGGTTCATGCTCTGGTAAAATACTGAATGTTGATGATAACGATAATATTAGCCATTTCCTATGCGGAAACATTTAGCACTCATTGACTGAGCAGCCAGTGCTATTTTCGGTTTAAATTTATAAAGATTTTTCTATTAAAACAATTTTTCAGGTAAATAGGTTTATCAAATCCTTTTGTTTGAAGTAGTGTGGAATGTCAATATCTTGATTATGTCATTATTTTCTCTTTCCGTTATATGTGCTAGCCATTTTAGTTGTTACTGTTGTTCAAAATTCTCAAGTGAAACCGTTTCTATGATTTAGTAAAGTTCTCTCTGATTCTGTAGCACCAGTCAGCAATGTTTGAAGAAGGATGGTCTTTGCTAAGACTTTATTTGCTCAAAGCTATTTTTAACTATTGATTGTATACAGCTGACAGTTTAGATATTTCTGAATGAGCCTGGCACCATGCGTGACATCCACATGAATGTCTCAATCTGACAAGGCTATTTAAGTGCATGCTGATTTTCAAGTCAGTCAATCCATTTTGATTTAGTTTGGTACAATTATTCTATTCCTCTCTATCATTTGGGCTTGTGCTATAATAATCTAAACTTTGTATATATATATATATATATATATATATATATATATATATATATATGGAAAATTATTGACAAGGCTAGAATATGTAAAGCTTGGGATGACCCATGCCCTTTGTGCCTCCATGAAAAATTGCACATCATTAAACTTCTAAATAATAATAATCTGTTAAATAATAGACACGAGTTAACGGTTTTTTTGTAGGCATCATCAGATTTTTGGTTTGAATTATTAGATAAAAAAAAAAAAAATTTATATAACTTGTTTAACAAATAGCCCAATCATCAGATTCATAGTAGGAATAATTAACTACAAATATGCATACTACATAACACACTTCATAATCCATAGCCTAAATTAGTAGTTTAAATACCTTACATTTAAGATAACCCTTTATGAAGTCGTCAAAAAAACAAACGTTACGAAAGTTTTTTTTTTTTTTTTTTTTATATGCACAATTCCTTTCATAATAAAAATAAAATAAAATAAATAAATAAATCTCCATAGACAAGCAAACTAGACGATGACCAATACATCTTCCGTTTCATTTTTGACACCCCCACCTTTCTCCGACTTGACACCTTGAAAGTATCTCTATACCGCGCTACTTAATATAAACACCCTACACTCGCCTACCCAATTTAGAAAATTCACCATAGCTGTTACCATGGGGATTTTGATTTCAATTTTAAAACAAGTAAATTTCAGATATACGTTATTCCAACAAAAATTTCGCTTGAGGATGGAACGGAGCCCATTTTACTTTCAACTCAACTTAATTTAAAGGATTATATTGAAGTTTTCGGCTCTAGTTTTGAAACATGAGACCTCTTATGTAGCGATTTGGAATCATATTTTTAAATAAATAATTATATATATATATATATATATATATAAGTACTTTGTCATAAAATTTACATAAAAATGTACAAGTTGTATTTTTTAAGATAATAAAACTATAAATTTTTCTTCATCTTCAGGTACAGTTTGTTTTTCTTCAAAGCTGAACAAACAGCAGCAATGGTTTCTCTTTATTTGCTTAGAGTAGAACTTGAACCATGTCACTTGTTAAAGCCTTGTTAAAATGTTTCTTTGTTTCTCTTTTGTCAGGTTCTTACTGCTGAAGAAATGGATCAGGCCATGAAGGCTGTGGCTTACAGCTGTATTAAATATGCAGATCTGTCAAAAAACCGTTGCCATGATTACATCTTCTCTTTTGACCGGGTAAGTTTTTATTTCATGATACATATCTCCAGGTTTAACAACACCATTTAGTTTTGCAAAAATAAATGAACTACCTAGACAAGGTAGAATCAAGGAAGGCAAGAAAAAAGGACTATTTATTAACTATAAAAAAAAAAAAAGAAACAATGCATTGTCAACAAAAAGGCCAACCCTGTGTGTGAGCTACATATTAGAGATGAGTCATCTTATTTTCTTTTGTATTCCATTGGCAAAGAAACAAATTCCACTCGGCTTCTTCACAGGAACTTACTTTGGGGAAGAAGTTACTGAGAGAATACTTTCCTGATCACGATGATCTTAAACTCTTCAAGTCGAGTGTCAACTGATATCTATCCTACATATCCTAATAATATGCATTACTTATTCATTCAGTATTTCTCTACTTTGAGAGGATCTTGGGCCTTGTATTGGGTGAACTTTGTGTACAATACTCTTTCCAGACATTGGCTATTATGACTCTCTAAAGGTGTCTCTGTTGCTCTATGTATCTGTATTGGCAGATTCAGAAAGAAAACTAAATGAATTATTAGTCAAGGAATGCAAGAAGAAAGGACTACTAACCGTAAAAAGACAATGCATCTTTATCAGCAAATAGAGATAGACTAAAGTATGAACTATGCATTGGGCACGTCAAAATATGCAGAAACCTAAGTAATTTGATAGCACGATAATGAAACAACATAAAGCACAGAAATCTAAAAGCTCATAAAGAGGCTTTTTAGAAATTCAGTAAAGTATTAAGAGATAGGAAAATGTCCTTTAAAAGCAAAAAAAAAAAAAATACTGGACTGCTATATAATATCTTTATGGCTGTGGATGCTGGACAGTTTTCTCATGGATGAAGTAACAGTGATGTTGTTCTATAGAAGGAGGCTAAGAATAACATATATAAGCAACATGGAAGTTTTAAGAACTATAAGAAAACAGCTGCTGAGAATTCGAAGTGAAATTTCTCAGACATTATGAGGAAAGACGGTTTGAAGAATTTAACACCCACAAGGCATATTTTGAAGGCAAGAAAATCAAAGGGAAACAGTGAATAGCCTACTTGGGGAGTTTGAGTAAATAGATGGCCACACCAGGACATGGAGGTGTAGTAAAAAGGGAAAAGTTATTTAAAGCAGCGAAAGCAGGAAGCTGGGGAAAGCAATGATTTCCTAAGTAAGGATAAGGGATTAAGAATGGAGAAATCATTTTTGCTTAGCATGTACTCATTATTCAGTGTTTTTCTTCTGACTAGTACCTCTATTTTTGTTATTTTTATTACAATGTTTTAGCTGATATGTCTTAACAGGTGGCAAAATGTGACACTGAAATCTAACTATGCATTGTAATAGCAAAAGATGCTTTCCAAAAGCTAAGCAAAGTAGTAAGAATCAGGAAAATTTCATTAGTAACAAAGAAAAGTGTAGAGTGAGTGGCCATTGTTAAATGTAAAATAAATGACAGAACTGTCCAACAAACAGAATTAACAAATTTTGCAATAAGGAATAAAAAGAACAGAACAGGAAAAAAAAATTATTATAAATCAAGCAAACGATATATGCAAGGCAAAGCAACAGTAATATGACAAAATGTTCTCAAACTAAGAATTAGGATCGACACAAACGAGCATGTTCAGACAAATGAACATAGTGTTCTGACTTCGACAGGCCAGGACTGAATCAGATGAAACCTAGAATCGGCCAATTTTATTGGCTAGAAAAAAAGATATGTGTATATCTGTGTCATGCCTGAGTGACTTGTACTTGTACCATTTTAATTTACATACATATGCACACTCAGTTTAACCAAGTTGGAAATAAGATATTAGCTCAATACATTTCCCTTCCCCTCAGCATGGACAACACCTACTTTGGGTTGAGCAATTAAATCAAAGTTGAAGACTAGTTGGGTAAAAAAAAAAGTTTTTTTTTTTTAATCTCCAAGATTTTATTTAACTTTTTGGAAATTATTTGGTAATAAATAGAATTAATTTTAAAGGATTTTTATTTAATTTTACAGAAACAAGCCTGTCAGTGAATTAAAGTTTACATGAGCACACACAAATGTACATAGACATGCAATCTGAATGAAATCAAAATGAACGTCTCTGTCACAGAGGCTAATTTCCCTTCCAACCAGCCATAACCCCTAACAAATATAAGATTTGTTGGAAAATATATTAAGTTTAAATATTATTTTTATTGGGCTTACAATTTAAATTTGAAATATGATTATCTTGCCATAAGCAGAACGACAGGTACCCAAATAGCAACAACAAAGATGAAGATATTAGTCTAAATGTAAATAATTTAGTATTGTCTTTGGAGAGCTTCAGATGATTACAATAGATTTAGGATTTTCCTTTTTGTAGAAAGTTATAAAATAATTACTGTCAGTGGTAAGCGATTAAGATGCAGCCTTGTTTGGTTGGTGATGAAGAGATTTTCCATCTCTGATATCAGCAGAATTGTAATCACCAGATGCTGAATTGAAGTCAGCCAGTCAGCTGTCCCAAATCGGTTAATCCCTTTTCTTTAAGTCACACTAAAAATGATTTAAGAAGATAATCTCTTGGCTAGGAGAGTTGTGTATTTCTCAGCACGTTTCCTTGTATTTGACCTTCCCTTGATACCCAAATCTTTGTTTTAAATGAACCTTATTCAGCAGACATATTTTCATATCATAAAGATTTAGAATTTTTTTTTTTCTCTTACTTTGGTTTTATAGCAAATAAAATTGAACTGTGGTCTTTTTGAAATGAAACCACTTGAAAAAAAATATTTTTTTTTTTTTAAAGAAACTACAATGTTTTAGTATAATTAACTATTTTTCCAGTCCAATTTTTACATTTTGGTTTAAATAGTTTCAGCTTGAAATTTTATTATTATAGTGTGTGTGTGTGTGTGTGTGTGTGTGTGTGTGTGTGTGTCTCTCTCTCTATATATATATATATATATATATATATATATATATATATATATATATATATATTAAGAAAAATCAGGTAATTCTGCTACCTTGGTTTCAACCTTTTGGTATCTTCAGGCAATTTCGGTCAGTTGATTTCCTAACACTTTATTTTTTTAACTCTGACCATTAACTTGTTTATTATTATATATATATATATATATACACAGTTATAACTTTGGTTATCTTTTAGAAACTGAAATTTTAATTTTAAATTCAACTGTTAACTTAAATTTAATTTTATATTGATTTCTAATTTAATCTAATCTTAACTTTAATGCACTAATACTTGTACTTATACCAGAGTATGTTGATATTATTTTAATTACCATATACTTATTCTGATTGGTTATCATAGGTTACATAACAAAGTTTCCCCTACTGAGGTGGTTTGGTTGACTTTGGAACTCATAAAATCGTTTCCTTTCAACATCATCACTTGATAAGACACCAACAGTGTTGAAACAAAATTATAGTGATCTTATAACATGTATATATCATAAATTTAAATAAATACACACACATGCAGTGCAATAGTTAAATTGTCTCCCATTTATATTTTAATTTCATGTATGCGCGTTGTTTATTTTTGATTTTGTCGACTGCACAGTATAGAAGGGTGAGTTATAGTGAGCAAAAAGGGCACCATGACGCAATTCACTCTGCCAGAAACTTGAAACTGCATGCTGTAATGCTTGGCATTCACACTGGAAATTCCAATACAAACATTTCAGAGTGTTTGGGTGTCAATTTGAGGACAGTGCAGAGGATTTGGAAAGAGTTGGATGAGTTTAATAGCAATTACAAAAGTGCTTGGAATGATGGTGATGGTGACATTATGCCTCCATTCATCTTCCCACAGAACCTCAGACACAAAGCAGAGGCCTACATTAAGTACCTTGAGGAGGTAGTGCTGCCCTGGGTCAAGAGGGTGCACCATGCTACAAAATCAAGAGAACCCAGTCATGGCTGTCAGACAATTTCTGTGACCACATTACCCCTTACATCTGGCCACCTAACTCCCCAGACTGCAACTTCCTTCATCATTATATGTGGGGTGTAGTTGAGCAAGAGTCCAACAAAACTCCTTGTAACACCAAAGATGAACTGAAGGCAAGGATTGTGTCAGCATTCACCAACTTAAACAAGGGGACCGTCCAGAAGATTTGCAGTAGATTCTGAAGTTGTCTGGAGGGCGTAGTTAAAGCCAATGGCAATTTTATTGAATAAATTTACTGTTTAGTATTTCAAGATTGTGTAATTTTGGTAAATATATCTATTAAAATGAGATGTCAGTGTTATTTTCATTTTGCATAAAATTAGACGACAATTTATCCATCGCACCCTCTGTGAGTGTGTGTGTGTATATTTTGCAGTATAAACCACAGGTTGGCTCTGTGGGTGTTAAACAAACACAAATGTGCCTGAGCGAGCGTCTGCAATAGGGGTATGGCTAGCCACCCTAATAGAGGGGTATCCTCAAATAAAGTGGCCAGCTATTATATAATTTATTTATATAATTTATTATATATATATATATATATATATATATATAATTAACCCTTTCCTTGAACAAAAATGGCAATACTGAAAAAGAAAAAGGCCTAAAGGAAAGCCTATCTACTTAGTAAAGTGCCAGAAGCCCCAGATTGCCTAGCCAGAACAAAAAAACAATGACATTAAATCCATGAAAGGACAGCACTAGTCGTTGCCCTCAGTTTCATGCTCAATTGATCTTCAGACAACTTGAGCACTCAATTCGTCTGAAGGTCGTGTGAGCATGAAACTCTGGTTATGACTAGGGGCCATCTCTCCATAGTATATATATATATATATATATATATATATATATATATATCATCAGCACTACAAATTACACAAATACGCTCGAACCCTCAATCATACTGACTTGTAACATTGTGGTGTCACAGTCATCATAACCAAGGGTTTCAGTATACTGGCATTGTTCAAACTGATGATTATGGCAAATTATATACTCTCTCCCAAAAACTGTGACTGTGGTCAAA